ATATCACATGCTCTTATTAAATATTGGTGCCTACTACCGACACTAAGAAATAAAACATAACATACTTATATTTTACGGAGATTTAATATTTTTAAAAATATTTTCATTAATATTATCCAATAAGATATAAGTGAAAATTCGATTATGAAAGAATATTATTACATACAAGATTTAATTTAAAGAGATTTTACTCATTTAACCATGAAAAAAATAAAGTGCCAAGGGAAGAGTGTTTTCATTTTTTCTTCTGTTTAAATAATATGATCAGAACTCCTTTTATCTTTTTGTCTATCGATCAGATCATCGTCGAGTAAAAAATATTTTATAAAAGGGAAAATTGTCTAAAATATATTCAAATTTTGATCAAAATTATTATAATGATATTAAATTTTGGAAAGAACCTTTTACGGGTATATATGTGTCCACGTGAACATTAATATTGCGTAATTATAAATATTAATGTATCCATTTGGACACATATATACCCCTTAAAATACACTATCAATAATGCATGTGGAGTAAAAGATCCTCCATAAAATATGATATTATAACAAAATATTCGACCAAAATTGAAATATTTTTGAGATCCTATTCATTTCATAAAAATCCAAACTAAATCATAGGACCCCATAAAATTGAATAGGAGTATCTTACTATAAATTCAATTATAGTATAAATATTACGTTAAACACATTAATAAGCATTGTGTATGCATAATGCATGCAAATAGGGACGTTAACATATATTTGTTTTTGAAGCATTTCTTTTCTTTACATCAAAAACTCTTAAAAGAAATGTGAATAAAACTAAATCATTTAAATCAGTTCTTTTTTGAATAAATATAATAAATCTATTATTTAATAAATAAAATCATTTCGACTCAATGAAATTAATGGCCCGTTAATATTTACCCCTTCAATCCTCCATGCTATAGATGAGGCACATTTATTATTTATACTTGTATAACACCTCATCAAATAGAGGATATTAATGCCAATTCCGCAATTTGCATGATCTTATAATATTGTAGTTATTACATATATGGCTCACAATTTTCTCTGGATATATCAATATATATTGTCCGGCTTTTCAACATTTTAAATTTGAATAATACTATGTAATAAATTTTTGATGTCTTAAATTCAACCAAATTCCATCTTTGATTTGACTAGATCAAGATAAACTATATAAAAAAAAAAAAGTTGTTGAGTACTTAAAAGCATATATAACTGTCCAATTTAATACAGTCAACAAAACGAAAAATGGTCTTTTCGCTAGTGATTAACAATTTCTTTTAATGTTAACAATGTATATTATACTAAGATAAAAATCATTTTGATTTATATATACATGAAAAATTAGTTAAATAAATTAAAACAGTACTATATTTCATCAAATATATATATAACATACAAATGTCATCGATATTCGTAATTCATAACAATCTTCTTTTAAACATAGGAAATAAAAATAGAAAAACTCCTTTACTACGTGCCTCTTACGCCATGCAACTTTTAAATTAAAATAATTGAACCTCAAAACAAATACGAAGAGAACTTACTTCGAAAATAATACACTTTGAATTGTTTTTATGTAACTCATATTAGTAGTACTATAACCTCCATCAATCACTAGGTTAACTCCGCTTACAAACTTAGACTCATCACTTGCCAAATACAACGCCGCCTCCGCCACATCCTCTGCCGTCGGAGCCACCCCTTTTAAATTCGCCGACGAGCAAATTATTCCGTCCACGACGCTCTTATCGACACCCATCGCCTTCACTAACATCGGTGTCGCCACCGCGCACGGCGAGACGCAGTTCACTCTTATCCCGTGTTGCCCTAATTCGGCACATAAATTCTTCATGAGTCCCACCACCGCGTGTTTCGAGGCGGTGTATGAATGCGGTGATTCACCCGAGGAAACGGAGGCCAAACTAGACGTAAAAAGAATGACACCTTTCTTTTCTGGGATCATGACCCGGGCAGCATATTTCGCACCGAGAAATGATCCGTACACGTTAACGTCAAATACCTTTTTGAAATTCTCGTTATCTGCGTCAATTATGTTGAAATCGAGATTCCCCGGAATTCCTATATTTAAGAATGACAAAATTAAATTAGCTCATAAAAATATAAGTCGATCTAAATTTAAACTTGTGATGGTCAATTTATCAAGTGAATATTTCCTTTTTAGGCCATTATTTTGAGTTGTCTTTATTTAAAAAAGTGTGCAAATATAACACTTTAGAAAATTAATATTCTAAGTAATGGTTCAAATGTATGTTGATATGTTTCTCTTGCTAATAATATATGGTCTAACATTTGAATAACTAACAAATTTCTAGATTTAACAATTTCTGATTTATTCGAAAAATCTTTAGATCGTAATCTAAAATTTCATAAGTTATAAAAAAAGAAGAAGTTATTTATAAAACAACCATCCAAAAAAGGATAACTAGTGAAAATTTCTCCATTTTGACTAAGAGTATTAATTTTGGTATGAATTAGACGGATTGGATTATGACTCATTGTTTAGCTTATTTTTTCTGTTCATTCAACTCAAGAAACCTTTAGAGGTCATTGTCTATGTATTAATTACATATAGCTTAATTTAACCTATATAAAATCAATTAAACCGCTCATTTAACATTCCTACCTGCGTTGTTGAACATGATATCGAGTTTTCCATACTTGGAAATTGTTGCGTCGATAAGGTTTTCGACGTCGGAGACCTTTGTTACATCACAATGTATGTATGTAAAATCATTGTTTTTATTTTTAGGACAATTGAGGAGATCATTGCAAAGAGATTGTCCAATTTCATCTTGAACATCAGCTATTACAACTTTTGCACCATTTTGTAAGAAAAGTCTTACTGTACTTTCTCCAAATCCACTAGCTCCTCCTGTTACAATAGCTACTTTCCCTTCTAATCTGCATTTCCGAATTCAGAATTTGAAATTTATAAAAAAAAAAAATTTAACAATCTCAAGTCAATATATGATAATAATTGAGTTTACAGTAAAATATACTGAATTTTCACCAACTCGTATTTCATACTTGTGCATTCGCCATTGATATTTTATAACAACTTAAATTTTTAAATGAGATAATACATAAATTATTAATATGACATCAAAATGAATGAGAGTAGATCTAACACATTGTACGTAGATGAGTTCAATTAAATTCATAACTTTTAACACATATAGACCTAAATTTATATGTGTAAACCTCATAGAAATTGTTGCAAATATTGAACTATGAAGATATAAATGACATAATTAAGTAAAAAAATTGTATGGGTGATAAGTACTACTTCATTTTTAATCAGAGATTTCGGGTTCGAATCCCCTGATAAGGAGTAAGGAGTTATGTTTGTTAGGAAGCGCTTTAGCCTGACTTCTAATACAAATTTAGTCGGACTCTAACATGAGTATCGGATATCACGAAAAACAAAAAATAAATAAAAGTAAGGTTATTACCTTCTGCTTGTGTGAGCTATAGGAGAGGAATAGCCATTCATTTTTAACAATTTTTCTTGGAAATAAGAGAGGAAGTTCTAAGCCAATGAGATTTTATTGTAAAAAGAAACAAAGAAGCATTTTATAGAGAGAAGATGAGGTACCCTTTTAATGCTATAGTATTTTATTATATAGTTATATTAAATCAGTTTGACTCTAAAGTTATATGGGGTACACATGCTTTGTTGCTATTATAAGTTGTGGTAGTAATTGATTTAATTTGTACGATTTGGTGATGTTTAATTAAGTATTAATTTTAAGGATAAAATGATAAATACAAATAATCATATTTAGTTTAGATCATAAAAGAATTATTTGATTAATAAGTCGAAATCAGTTTATTATGAGAAATAATTTTATAACTTAAGCCTGTAAAAATAAAGAGAAATTTTGAACATGTCATAAATTCTTGAATATTGTCGTTTTCAAAGACAAGGTGATCAAGAGACTATATTACTCAAGATTAAATATACATCACAAAAAAGTTCAAACCACTTATGATCTTGCCAATTAAATACTAACACGAAGAAGGTCTAAATAATTAAGTGCTTGAGAAATATGTTATTAACGACTCTCGAATTATTAGAAAAAAATTCAAACAAAGAAGAAAGGAAGGAAATATATGGAATTATATTTACATTCTTAACAAATAAAATCACTTTATTTTTATTCATTTTATGATTACAATTTAATCTCTATATTTTCAATTTTTATAAAAAAAATACTTTAAAAAAAATAAAAAATTATAAAGCTTATAAAAATTTTAGATTTTGAATTGGCCTCAGGTGGAGATCAGATTGAGTTGGCAACAATTATTGGTCATGAAGTAAATGCTTGAGCTAAATGTAAAACATTATATTAAAAAAATATAAATTAAAGCAAAAGGAAGCAGATCCAACTACTACCAAATTGGGGCACAATTATCTTGGAGTAGTAATAAATAAGTAAATTGCAATTTGCCATGTGCTGCTTGAAGGCTAGTCTCTATATTACAGCTCTTTATCCATCATGGCATTAATATTTTACATTAACGACAAAATGATCTTTTATTATCAGTGGCATAATTTAAATATAAAAAATAATCATATAAAGATTTTCTGGTTATTATTTATTAATTTTTCATGAAAAGAATCACGCAAGTAAAAACATGTTAAGGTTATTTGTGTTACTCGTAGTAATGACTATCATATTGACTTTTTCATATTTTCTTATGAACGACATTGTAGATCTCCAAAAATGAATAGTCAAAACCGACAAGCACAAGCTCTTGTGCTGGATGTATTTGGAATTTGTTGTATAATGTCCAAGTAAAAATCATAATCACTTGGTTTAAATTTACGAAACACGCTTTCTTGTTTAGTTTGTCATAGAAAGAAACTCATCTTTTTATATTTAAAAATAATGTATCTTAGATGCAATATAAAAACTGCATATTTTACCAATATAACGAAAGACATCTTATTAGCGTGCGTTCTGTAAAAGGTAACAATGGATATCTTTAATTCTAAAATCATAACTTAGTATTTCCATAATAACATAAGTGTATCAGAAACAACCTCTCTATCCCATAAAGGTAGGAGCAAGGTGAATGTACACAGTACATCACACTCTCCCCAAACTCAACTTGCGGGATTAAACGAAGGTGGTTGTTGTTGTTATACTTGTTTATAAAAAGAATTGAATGAAATCCCATATATCAAGATTCTGGATACTTGAACATGCCTAGTCCTGGATTAGACACAGTGAATCCCCCATCAATGAATAGATTGTGCCCACTGATATACTGGGCATCATCACTTGCTAAGAACAATGCTGCTTTTGCAACATCATCCACCTTCAGAGTAGCACCTTTAAGGTTCCCAATCGTGCTCATCGCGTTCTCAAGCTCTTCATTTTCAAGTCCAATGATCTTTGTCGCCATTGGCGTGACCATCGCGTATGGTGACAAGCAATTCACACGTATACCGAATTGTCCTAGTTCCACCGCTAGGTTCTTGGTAAGACCCAACACGGCGTGTTTGGAGCTGCAGTAAGCATGTGATGCTGCAGCTCCAACCTTGGAGCTTACACTAGCGGTGGATATGATGCAGCCGCTACGTGTCGGGACCATGACTCGAGCGGCATGCTTCATGCTCAAGAAAACTCCTGTTATATTGATGCTAAGGACTCGTTCAAAATCTGCTTTTGTATTGTCGATGATTCTTGGCTTGGTCTCGTCGCATATGCCAGCATTGCAGATCATGATGTCGAGTTTTCCAAATGTGGCGATGGTTCTGTCGACAGCTTCTTGGACGTAGTCTTCGTTTGTGACGTCACAGTGGATGTAAATGGAGTTGGATGAGCCGCCAAGGGCGTTGATGACCGAGTTGCCGAGTTCATCTTGGACATCAGCAATGACCACTTTGGCTCCATGTTCAAAGAAGAGCTTTGCAATTGCTTCACCGATACCACTAGCTCCTCCGGTTACAATTGCTACTTTCCCCTCTAGCCTTCATATACAAAAAATGGAAGTTATAGAGATCTCAATTTCATTGCATTTTTTGCTTTAGAAAGAAAATCTGATCTCCAATCGAATTTTCTCCTCGTTTTTTAAAGACAGAATGACAAGTTAAAATTTTGAGGTGAAACATCTAACTTCCTATTATAAAAACAACATACCCAATGTAATCCCACAAGTAGGGTATCGGGAGGGTATATATATACAGACCTCACCCCAACCTTTGTGGGGTAGAGAGATTGTTTCTAATAGACCCTCGGACTCAAAACAAGAGAAGTTATATGGAGAAGAGAAGCAAGAAAAAGACAGCAAAATAGAGTAACTGATAGCCAAAAAAACACATTGAAGAGCAACTGATAGCCAAAATAACACATTGAAGAATAAGAAACTACGTGGTTATACAGTATATGATAGTCAAAGAATATATGATCTAACTTCCTATAATATAAAGTATTTAGTATTAATATTTGACAAGTCTATTTATAATTTGGATGAGAGCAAGATCTTATGCGCTTTACTTGAAACTGCTTATAGCATTTTTCAGCAGAATATGCTATGGCAACAAGAGATATTGATCTCAATGGATCTTTTCGAAAGATAAAACAAAGAATTATATGAACTAAAGAAAATCAAATTTCATCCTTACTTATTATATCGAGAGAAGGCTTTGTGATACATACCTTTTGCCGATTGTTGAAAGGAATGAAGCAGAAGCCATAGCTGGGAAAAAAACACAAAAAACTTGATTTAGGAGGAGAAATGTGAAAAAATGCCCTCTACATTGAAGAAGCAAATAATGATATATACAAGGAGACTATACAGAACTGTCTTTTTTGCTGAGCATTTTAGACGGCCTACACTGATAGAATATACTGCATAGTGAAAGTGCAGACAAAATTTGGAATGAGAAAATATGTGTCTTTATCTCTATTGGAATCCATGAATTAATGATGCGAAAAAAGCTATTTTCATTTCTTTCCTGGTATATATCATTTCAAATTACTTATTGACAATGATGTTTCAACTCCATTTATCTGCATTTTCCTTTTTGCCCTTTCTTTCTTTAACTTCTGTGAAATGTTAATGAGGTCGGCATAATATCCTGTTTCTTTCTTGGCAAGATCGAAATTACCTTAATTCTTAGTTCGATTCAAAAATCTGCAACAAACACAGTGAAGATACTGGAAATAACAAAATATACACATATAAGGTGCATAAACAAAAGTAAGGAAGAAATGCTTTTGGTTTCTTAGAGTTTCTTTATACCGAGGGTCTATCGGAAATAGTCCTGTGTAACTATACTGGGTATGTCTGTTGTTTTGGTGTCTTAGAGCAAACATTGAGAGTGTTCAGGTAAGCGTATAAACACTTTTTGACTTATCTACGCGTTTGATAGACTGAAGCTATTTAAGAAAGTTTTAGGTCCTTAATCAATACTAATAAATAAAACAAGTTTGAGATTCGAACACACAAGCACTACCTCATTCCAAGTGCTAAAACCACTATGCTACAACAGTTTGTTGTATTAAGGGTGTCCGAAATATATTATCTAAATCATTTTGTGCATCATTTTACTTGTATATATGATATTTTTTCCGACGAAGAATTGGGCACCCTAACATGAGTGCAGCTACGCTCCTGGGACCCACAATAGTAAGCAAAATATCATCTAAGTTATATACATCAACACTATCAGGCTGACGGTGTATAAAATTTAAACTCAATAAAATATTGTCAAAACTAATCACCCTTTAAAGTAAAGGTGAAGAGAAGATGTTAGACACCTATAAATTACCTTTCTTCCAATATTAACAACAAACTTCTCAAAACCATAGTGAATTTTAGAATCAGCATAAAGTCAAAGCAGCATCAACAACAAAAATAGGAAAATAAGAAGAGAGTCAGTTCCAACTTGTATAGTTCAAATTCAAACTCAACTAACCAAGAATGATTAAATAATGAAAAATATATTACAAGCAACATATAAATTTTACCTAACTGAAAATAGTGGAGAACTGAATACTAAATTAACTTTGAGGTCTATCCTGCAGAGGTACTCAAATTGGACCAATGATCGATTTCACAATACATTAAGTCATCTATATTATTCAACCAAACACCGAAGATGAAATCAGGACTTAAAAAGAAGAAAAATATTACTTGCTATAACTGACCTATGCCTATTGGTTAGGTAGAAGTTAGGTTAATACACTGATTAGTCAATAGCAAGAATCACATTGTATTGCAAACTGTATAAATTTATTTGTGTAATAAACTAACAAGTTGATAGCAATAATGAAGCTACTCTAACATAATCTATATACTCTCTTCAGGAGATGAAACTGACTCTAATTCCCTAATGCCCCATTGAAAAATTATTCAATTCAAAATATAAACAAGTGAGGTATTTCAAAATCTTAGTAAGGCTTCTAAATCTTATATGGCTGCCACCCCCCCCCCACCCCACCCCCCCATACACACACGTTTAATATGAAGAGTCTAAACAAGTCGAGTATTTAAATACCTTTTTAACCCTTTTGAAATGCTTTTATATAAGTGGATGTAAAATGTTGTACAACTCAATTCCCATACACATATTATACGAAACATCTCAGCATTGAATAACTCTGTGCTTTCATGCCTTTCAGGCCCTGTAAAATTGAGGTTCACCCCCCTAAAATACAAAGGACACACTGGCTGTTAGTAGAATTACCCCTTTCTTTTGGCAGGGAAACTATGGTAGCATGTTTTTCCGCCACCAGAAATGCTCCACACAAATGGCAGTCAGACGTGGACTTTGGTTAAGCTCCACGTGACAACATATCTGTCATTTGTTTGCTTCAATCTAAACCTTCTTAAACTTTTTGTGTTGTAGTAAATGAATACCTCTGCATTGACCGACATATTTGAATCAAAGCATAATTCCTTCAAATTACTAGATCGGGACTTGGTGAAGAGTAGCAAAACAAGCATAATTCATTTCTTGATTGCTCATCCTCCATCTCTCTTCTCAGAATTCTTCTAATAAAGGTACGCTACATTTATACATTTGCTAATCAGAGAAAAAAGCAAGTTCGTAAATTTTTCTTTCTGTTTTATTTTTTGCAGATTTTTATGTTTTTTGTTTCAGATTTAGCTCATTTTCATGGATTTGGGGAGTCCCAAAGCCTGTAGGTCATATTATGCACTTCTGTTTTGTTGCTTCGCAACTAATTTTTTCAATTTATGTCTTAGACAAGTTCATTATAATTCACGAATATCTTCGTACTGTATCTGCTTCAACTAAGACTCATTCTGATTTATATATATATATATATATATATATATATGGAAGTCTCAAATGTATATGCACTAGAGATGACAAAAAAAAAGATTCTCTTAGATACTTCAGCACAGACTAAATTCATAAATTTACCTTTCAAGGCTGGCACTGAATAGGCTAGTTGTTGGCTTTGGTGCCAGGGCCACCATAAGTAGTGTTACGTAGCACAAAACCGAGACCATTTGTTCATGAACATTGAAGTTACAACCTACTGAAATGAAAATTCACCGAGTTATAGTATTGGCATTAACATCAATATCGAAATTGCTCATATTGTCAAGATAAAATATCCTGTTGCTGAGGCATATGGAGGCCCAGCTACCTACTCACCTAAACTTGTTAACAAATTTACTTTTAGTAGGTAAAATCTTAGCATCATGGTGGAATATAATAAGATTGTAATTGGTCCTGACTATTTGATGCACGATTTTGCAAAACACATCCGTTTTGATGCACAATTAGACATTGTCAGGAAGTCGCACAAAGATATCTTATCAAATTTTTATAACACATCCGTTTCTCTGATACGTGTGAGTCACTAAGATACAAAACTAGTAAGATATGGCATTCAAGGGAGACCCCAAAAGCATCTTAGCATCACATCCAGCTTGCTAATCGAGGGGGAGGCAGCGTAGTAACTCATCAAGAACTTCAAAGCTTAAATGAAAAAAAATGCCAGTAAGGTAAGCAAATGGAATACTCATCGCTAGCTTCCCCGGGTAGGAAATGGAGAACTAATAGCCAGCTTCCCCGGGTTGCACAAGCAACAATATGGTGTTTATGAAGGAGACATCCCAAGGAAACTCTCGTTTTCGTCATTTCAACCATCTTAATCAATTTCATGAAGTAGTACACTTACATCTGCAACCAACCAAATACTTCTTTTCTATTATTTAATTTACTTATATAATCTTAATTTTTCCAGAAACAGCATCTCTACTTCCACGAGATAGGGGTAACGTCTACGTACACTCTACTTCCCCAGACCCCACTTGTGGGATTATACTGAGTATGTTGTTGTTGTTGTATCTGATTTTAGTGTTTTATTCTTTTGCTTCTCTGTTAATTGACTGGCTAAATGATTTGCAGCAACTGGCAAGAACTTGGGATAAAATTCCTCCTAACAGCAACATGTTCTCTTTCTTTTTATATTTATTTATTTGGATTCTCCCACATTATCTATAAGAACAATTATTACAACAATAAGCCTTACTACTTTTTTTTTAAATAACTTCCAATAATTACTAGATACTTTTTTAAAAACTCTACTCTCACTCCCCCAACAAAGAAATAGAAGAAGAAAAAAACTTTAAAAACTGCATTTGCATAAAAAAGCAAAGTTGATTCCTTTTCTACGAATAGAAAAGCTCCCTTTTAGCCATAGATTTTTGAAGTTGAAATTCAAAAAATTGAGTCTCTGAAGATGTAACCAACAACAACATACCCAACGTAGTCCCACAAAGTAGGGTATGAGAGGTTAGAGTGTACAAAGACCGTATCTGAGAGGTAGAGAGGCTATTTTCCATGGACCATCATCTCTAGTTTTTGAAGTTGTAGTAGAAAATTCATTTTTACTTAGAAAAATTTGAACTTTTTGTGAGCGGAGGTCCAAAAACTGGTATGAACTTGAAAATATTTGAAGATAAAATTTCATGGCTAACTGGATATTTGAAGATAAATTTTCGAAAACTTCTACCAAAATCTGTGGCTAAATGCTAGCTTAAAGTATGAAGTGAACCAGAAAAACAACATGAAAATGCAATAAACGGGAAAATGGAAACAAAAATATTCAAAGATAAAGTGTAAAATGCACAAATTCAACAAACTGTATAACGAAGAAAAAATGAATTCTTACCCATTCGGGCTTTACTGTAATCATTTCGGGCCCTTGAACGGGCTTGACGAGGCCCAATGTTGCGCTTAGATAAGAAGGCGGCGCCGGCGCCGGCGCCGGCGTTAAGAGTAGCGCGGCGAGTGTGAATTTGAGCCGATACAGTGTTATGGGAAAGTTTAAAATAGTCTCTTAAGTATATTTTTGAGCATTTTGACCCCTTAAGTTTGTCAAAGTTGAGCACTTCTTGTTTTTCTGTTTTTATCAACAATTTAACAAAAACTGTAAAACTAAAGATTTACTTAAAAACATTAGAAAAATCTAATCAAATTTTAAAAAATCATAACATGAAAAGCAATATCAAACAACAGAATATATATATATATATATAGACTAAAATAAGTAGGAGTTGCACCTCAAATAATTTACATCAAATATAAAAAATATATCAAAATAGAAAAAATGATCAAAATTCAAATATCTGACCCTAATTTATTTGTATAGGCATAATTATTATTATTTTATTGTATTTACATATTATTTATATATATATATATATTATATATAAAGATAAGCATAATAAAGAAGTATCAACATAATTTTTAGATTATTTAATTTTCGTTTTTCTTTGGTATTCCATGAATAAGGGATTGAAAGAGGTTTGATATTGTAAAATATAGTTTTTTTTTAGAATGCTAATATGAAATACTTAAAGCATTGTATTGTCTTTTAGTACAACACATTAATTAATTTGGTTCAATTTTGAGGCATTAGGATAATAAATACAAAGATTAACAAAGACTATTAAATTTTTATTGAATTAGATAATTGTCATTATATCTAAAAGTATTATTATGAAAAAATTACATAAATTAGTACATTTTAATAAATAATTACTGATTTTAGCAATACTTTTTATTTATTACCATTTATAACAATGTTATGTCAAATCTACAATATGAATTAAAAGTGAATTATGTATGCAATATATATGAATTATAATTGTTTTTTGAAATATATTATGTTTGTTTGGTAAAAATTTGACATATTGTATTACAAGTGTATTAAAATGTGCGATAAATGTATTATCCATTATTAAAATTTGTATTATATATGAATAATAAATTGTTATTTGTAATATGTATTAAACTTGTATTAAAAATGAATTAAAAGTGATCAAGTGAAAAAAAGATATTATTGCTATAAATGGTAAATATTTTTTTATTTTAGTATATTTATATAAGTTTCCCAAGTATTATTGCCAAGCTTTAGGACCTTTACAAAAAATCGTAATCGCCGCTAAAAATACATATATATAACCATAATTAAATTATTGTTATTAATTACTATTGACAAAAATTATTTTTAACATATTTATAATATCGGTTATTGTTATTTGTTATCATAGTGGAGATTGAGAGCAAATCAAGAATGATTTTTACCACATTTTAAATTAATCGAATCTTTCTTGGTCATTATCATTATTCAAATCCCACTTATCTTTTTTTTTTCTTCCACTTTTCTACACCATCGTTAGGTTTGTAACTTTTTTTTTTTGGAATAAAAGTAATGAATTGTAATATCATTTCATATTATAAGTAGGCCACCCTTTGACCACATTTCAATCTTACTTGTCATGGTGTGATCAAATTGTCTAAATTGTTTTAAGAAAACATTTTTAAAGATGAAAAATAAGTTTTGTTATTAATAAAAATTAATAAGTAATTTTGTTTATAAATAACTTAACTAAACATGTTCGTTTTTTAAAGCTTAGTCACTGACATTTAAATTGAATGGAGGGCATATCAAATTTTTTCTTTTTAGATGAATATATATATGTGAGCTTCTTTTTGTAATAATAATATATATTATAACTTTATAAGTTATTTATATAACGATAAATATATATATAAACCACTTTTATAATAAAAATATATCAATTTATAATAATAAATCATAGAACTATATCAAACGCTTTATCCTAAAAAAATAAATAATGAAAACTACTTGGAAAATGCCAAAAGAACCACACAACAAGGAGGTATTAGAAAAAAAAATTAAGAACAAAAAAGAAAAACACATGGTATTTGAACAACTTTAGAAATGAGATAGCTACCAATAAGCAATAATTCCACCAACAGAAGAATTTTCAACTATTTAAAGTGCAACCAATAATGGAATTTAATGGAAATATTAAAAAATGGACAACATTCTTTAATAAGAAAAAATTGTAGAAAGCATATAAAATGACTAGAAAAAACAACTTATCATCGACCCTCCGCTTTTAACTAGACGTCGAAGATTTAAGTTTTGAGCATAAAAAAATTATATTAAGACTTTGCCTCATGACATCAACTCTATAATATGTGAATTCAAATGAGTCGATCATCAATATAAATATTGAGAAGGAAACAAAAAAAAGAAATAAGTATTGAAAAAACATTCTTTAACTCAGCCTAAATAATTAATTTCATCCTCAAACTAGTATTAACCTAAAAACACTCCTTTACTCTAATAGCTGAATTGAAATACATCCTCGATCTTACAATATGAGTGATATACACTAATACCTTAAATTCTCGCCAAATTTAAAAGTCTTTTCAACACTTCTTTCGTCTTTCTATTAACAATTATATGTTTATACAATAGTTTGAGATAGGGATATACTTACTATGTTACGTGGCAGGTAAAGAATATATTTTAATCAAATAGAAGAATATTTTCTAGACTGTCAATAGTTTAAAAACAAAACTAACTAGTTGCGGGAAGTTCTAAGTCGTAGATTTTAATAAATGATCATCATAGCACAACAGAGCAGAGGCAGAGCAGCCATTGAGGAGGAAACGTGTAAGCAAGAGACAACGGCAAAAACATCAATAGTACAGTGAAGATGAGAAACAAAAATAAAGAGAACCAAAAAAATAAAACATTCTTCTTTTTGTCACAGCAGCAAAAAAGCTACAGTATCAGAATTCAGAATATTGTGATGGTAGCAAACACCAATAATTCCCTTGCACGTTCTTAGCCTCACATGCTCAGTGAACTTTCTTTTTCATCGATATCGATGTTCGATTAATTTTAACTTATGTTAAATTTACAAAATAAAAGAATACTTATTACTCCACTCGACAACGGCAGCGGGTGCTAATCAATCTTTCCTATGGATACACTTATGGCTACCATGTACTAGTTACAAAAATGTATAAAGATTTGTAATCAAGAGTCAAGCTGTCAAAATATAACTTTCCTAATTGTTATTCTCTGTATGCATTATCATTTCAAATCAAAAGTATTAGCAAACACAATTTTGTCTCCCTTAACACTTTGTCCCTTCTTTACCCTTTCTCATTTTGAATGTCATTATCACTTCTAAGTGAAAAAAATTCAATCTTTTTCCATACCCAAGTTGAAAAATCCAATCTTTTTCAGTATCTTTAAGTTTTCTGATCAAGATCTTGGAACCCCAGTTGAAAATTTTCAAAATCTAGCAGTTTTTTTTGTATGTATTTCACTTCAGATCGTACTAGAGGGGTAATATTTGGGAAGGGGAATTGATAATGCCAAGGCAGAATCAGGCTATGGTGGAGGGTTTAATACCCAAGATCCGTAAAAGGGGTTGTTCATCTTCTTCATCTGCATCATCAAAAGTGTATAACTACAGATTTAAACGGGCTATTTTAGTTGGAAAATCGAGAAACGGGCTCGGGCTTGGGCTTGGGCTCGGGCTAAGAGGGTCTAGATCCAGTACACCAGTGCCAAGTTGGAGGGCAACTCCATTGAGAAACGTTGTTGAGTCACCCAAACAGTCCCTTGGTGGTGGGATATCACAGCCAGTTTCAGCTAGAAAACTTGCAGCTACATTGTGGGAAATGAATGAAATGCCTTCACCAAGAATAACTGAGGAAGACTTGGAGAAAAAGAAGAAGATGATGATGAAGAAGGAGAAAATTCGGGCTGGTCATATGAGTTCGGGCTCTGTTTCGGGCTCTTTGCCTCCTCATTTGTGTGATCCATCTCATAGCCCGGTTTCTGAGGTGAGCTACTGAGCTCACTCTTTTTGAATATGTTTAGTATAATGATCATAAACATATCTAAAGTATCCTGTTTTTCCGAGTTTCATACATGAACTATCACCAACTATTTATCAAACAAACGTTTTGAAATATCACCATAACTCAATCTATAGTTGATGTAGGGAACTCGCATACATGATAGTTTCTATCACCAACTATTTATCAAACAAACGTCTTGAGATATCACCATAACTCAATCTGTAGTTGATGTAGGGAACTCACATACATGATAGTTTATGTATGAAACTCGAAAAAATGGATACTTTAGGTGTGGTTTTGACCCTAAAGTGTTGTATCTTGATGTGGGAACTATATTTTGCTGAATTCAGTTAGATTAGTTTCCTGTGGTTGTTAGAAATCCAGTGAAAATGATGTTTGTATTAGTCAATTCTCAAATATTAGTTTAGTTAGGTAATTACCTAATACTAATATATGGTTGATGTAACTTGTATGGTGGAAATATTGTGAAAATGACATTTTTCATCCTCTTACTTGTCCTGATTATTTTGTTCCATCCCACAGAGAGGAAAACAAAATGGATTTGTCGAATGAATTTGCTGTATTGTTGATGAAATAGCTTATTTGACATATACAGCTTTAACAGAAATGTTTGTCTTGTTATTACTGGCTTTACAAAGACTCTGCCTTGAGAAGCTGTTTGCAAAGATTATGATATGTTTTTTTTGTTCTACTCAT